AGTGTGGTACCAGGTGCCATCCATTTTGAAACTTTTCACAAGATTCTAATTTTCTGATATGCTGAATTTGAGATTTTCATTTGTTGTCATTTGAAATAATCAAAATTAAACGAAATAAACATTTGAAATATATGAGTTTGTATATAATGAATGAATATAATATACAAGTTTCACTTTTTAAATGGAATTACTGAAATAAATCTACTTTTTCATGATATTCTAATTTTATGACCAGCACCTGTACTTGTAGAAATGCTACCATCACTTTCCAGCTGAGTCTTCAGCAGGGGAAGGTCCCAGAACTCGCCTCCTGAGGAGAAAGACCAGAATATTGTTCATCATGACAATGTTTCCAGTTCCCGCTGGACCGCCAACTTCATGTAATGCTACAGCGGAGAGGTGTAACCCCGGCTCTGCAAGCACTCATCACAGCATGTTGCTCTGATCTGACAACTTTTTCACCTTTGGGGGTTTGGTTGGTATCAATCAGGCTCTGCACAAATGGCCGTTCTCCCTTAAGTCCTCATTCCACAACAGCCAGGACAGATAATAAAAAGCATTTTGTTACAATCGATCTAGGTGACATTTCTATAATAAAATCAGGGAAACGGCACAGTAGAGCCTCACTGGAGCTACACAGAGGGAAGTAATTAAAATCTAATTGTGTGGGTTTTTTTTTTTTTTCTGTTTAGGTATCGTATAATGACTCAGAGCTGGCAGCACCAGCCTGAAGACAGGCCCAACTTTTCTACCATTCTGGAGAGAATCGACTACTGCTTACAGGTAAACGCACGTGTTGAAGGAAATATTTAACATACTCTTCTTAAACTCCAGATACATTTGTGTACAAAAGCTTAACACTGCATCAATTAAAACAGACCATCGTGCATTGCTGTCTGAAGCCAGCTGCTCTGGCGTCAACAAAGCATGCCAGCGCTAACATCGGGCAGCTGCTCATTGATTTTCTGACTCATTTAAAATGCCTGAGATCAATAATTCTCCAGATGTGTCAGCTGTCAAGTTTCTCATCACTGCCTGAGACGTGGGTTTATAAAAATTCAACTGAAATATTTGCTGTTAAATTAAGACGTGCAACAAGCTCCATTTCATCCTAGCATATTTAATAGGCTGTAATTTTACCAAACAAATACAATTACCTAACTTTGAGTCAGTGTTAGTCATATTTAGCAAAATAATTTTGGGTAAAATTTTGGAAAAGTTGTTTGTCACCAGATTAGATCAGTTCATTGATAAACAAAATATTTTAAGTAAAAATCATTATGGTTTTAGAGCTAATAACTCAACATCAATGGCTCTCATGGACCTAATTGAACACATAATAACAGCTGTTGATCAAAAACAGTACTGTGTAAAGTGTTTTTGTTGAGTTAAAAAAGGGCATTTGATAGCACTGACCACAGTATTCTTCTTGAAAATTTAAACAAATATGGCATAAGAGGTCCCGTACTACAGTGGGTATCAAGTTATTTAACCATTTAGAAACAGTTTGTATAAATTAATCAAGTAAGGCCTGAACTTTGTAATATTGTTTGTGGGGTTCCACAAGGTTCTGTACTGGGACCAAAGTTATTTCTTCTATATATTAATGACTTGGTAAATACAGTATATCAGGGTTGTTTAAATGTATTTTACTTGCAGACAACACTACATTTTTTTGCTTGGGTAAAAACATAGAACAGATGTTGAAAATGATGGAAACAGAATTTGTAAAAGTACAAATTTTTTTTAAACATAATAAGTTATCATTAAATTTGGATAAATCAAATTACATATTTAGTAATAGAAAGAAAGCAACTGATGTTCCATGGTATTGAGATCTGTAGAGTCAATGAGGTGAAGTTTTTGGGTGTTATCATTGATGAAAAACTGACATGGAAACCTCCTATAAATTACTTAAGAACAAAAATGGCCAAATGTATTGCAGTTTTGTATAAGGTTAACGAGTTATTTAATGATCAAGCACTGTTCATACCATTTAACGCAATAATTTTTCCACATTTGATTTATTGTATTGAAGTCTGGGGAAATGCATGTAAAACAGTCACTAATCCTATTTTTATTTTACAACAAAGAGCCATAAGAATTATTGCAAAGCATTACTATCACCCATCTAATGTATTATTTCATCAATTAAAATTATTAAAATTTTATGAGTAGGTTGAATGTTTGAGTGGTTGAATTTTTTGTTTTGTTTTATTATTTGGTTTATTATTGTTTGAAATTAATATAAAATTTTTTAGAATAGGAGCAGATTTCTTTTTCTTCTTCTGTAGGCTTTCATTTTATTTTATTTGCATTGTTTTGTTGTATTTTAATGTGTTTTGTTTTTTTTAAATGAAATGAATAGATGCAGTTTGTCCATCTCAAATAAAACTTGGTGTTTTAGGACCCTGATGTGGTGACCACACCCCTTCCTGTGGAGTATGGGCCTGTTCCCGAGGAGGAGGAGCATGGACCCGTTTGCCCCGATGACCCCTCAGCTCCGGCGGCCATCGTGAAAGCCCAGGTGCCTGACGGGGAGGCGCTGCCGCCGCCTCCATCCTACCCCACAGGGGACAGAAGAGGGGCGGAGCACGCGGTGGCGACGAGCATGGCGGCCGAGGCCAAAGCACAGACATCGATTCAGCCTCAGCCGTGCGTCCACCAGCCTCACACGCAGACCTCCATCGCCATGACCACCGTCACCACCGCCGTCCCCACCATGCTCACTGCCAAGATGTCTCACGCCGCCGCCCAACCCAGCTCAGAGGGGGGCCATGTTAACTTCGCGTTTGCCCAGGGCCACCCCCAGGAGAAGGAGGGCCACAACGGGAAAAACACCAGCCTGTGGAATCCCACCTACGGCTCCTGGTTCCTGCAGCAGCAGAGGAAGCAGCAGAGGCAGGGAGGGGTGGGGGGGCCAGGGGGCAGCGTGGGCAGGGTGCCCGGAGAGGGGCAGGAGCAGGTGGGCCGGACGGTGGCTGAGGTGGCGGGGGCGATAAGCCTCCAACACCAGCACAAGCAGTTTCAGCACCAGCTGCAGCTGCTGCAGCAGCAGCAGGGTCTCTGCAGGCCGCTGTTACCCCCGCCTCCACCCCCCGCGGGCCAGTCACCTCTGCTTTTAGATTCAACAGCCCTGCCTCCGGTCCCGCTCTACAGACTGAGACGGTTCCCGTGCGGGAACATCGGGTACGGGTACCAGGAGCACGGCCTGCCGCTGGATACCACCCACCCCCCTCCGCCCCAGCAGGGCATGCCCACGCCAACCTCCGCAAACCATCAGAGGGGGGCAACCATTCCCAACCCCATGACCCTGGGCCGGTCGGGCGTCTCCGAGGACAGCCGCCCGCTATTGGTTACCATGGGAACAGTGCAGGACCCGAGGCTGCCCCGGATGGAAGGCCACAACGCCACCGTGCTTTAGCCCCGACATTCACCTCTCCTGAAATGGGCCTTTCACCGGATCTTCAAACCCCCAACAGACTTTGAAGCACATTAGGAGGGGGGTAAAAAAAAAAAGGTATTTTTTTTCCATCACAAGACTGATGAAGAACCATGAACTGTTTAACACTCCGCTTTATGTCCATCAGAACCAGTTCCTTTTCCCTGAGGGGTGGGCATGAGGGGGTATTAAAAAAAAGCCTTGTATTAGACTATTTTTCAAGACACACAAATTCACTGGATTATTACGAAAATTTCTACTGGGGAAAACAGTTTGTTGATGTTTGCTTGCCTGCTTTATTTATACTTTTATTTATTTCAAAGTGGCACTATAAGATACTAAATATGCCTCTTTAAATGAGCTAAAGTTGGTTTTGACTTTTTAATCTGCATTGTTTTTAGTAATACAAGTCATAAAAAAGGTAACATGGGTCCCAGTTTTCTTTGCCCCTGCTCACAGTGAAACCTCTCTAACACTTATTTTCCTGCTTCTTGTCAGGTGAGAAAAAAAACTGAACTTTACATTTTTTTAATCATAAAGGGGTGTGTGCTGTGTGATAAACGTAATTTGCTTTCCCTACGAATGAAGCACATTGTGTTAACCATCTGCTGTAAACAGAGGAGCTGTCGTGGAAAAAAAAAAAGCATATCTGTAAGCAAAAAGTCTATTTTGTTTTGTCTCCAGTGCCTGTTAAACCACATTCAGTTTATTTTCTGTTTGATGTATAAACCACACCTGTAAATGTTGTAATTATAAAAGTATTGTACTATGGTAAAAGCTGTACATTGCCCTTCAGAAGACATTCGCCAAAATTAATAAAATTACTATATAACATCTGCTGAAGTGCTGATTTCAAACGATATTTAGCATTAAAAAAAAGGAACTACTTTGACCCATTTCACAGACGCAGAAGAAATCCCAACTTATTGTCGTGCATAAAGGAGCAGAAAACGAGGGAACAAAAAGGGCAAGAAGAGGACGAGCCTCTGCAGACGCCCGTGAGAAAATAAAATTCAGACGTTGCTTATAAAGATGCCAGACTGGTTTTCGCTGACATTCAGTCTGACCTTCAAGCCAAGAGGGAGGGCTGAAGCTCAACAAATTTGCTTCGGTACAAGATGATTGGGACGCTTGCAGTGGCTTCCACAAGCTGTTAAATCTATCACAACAAAACAATTTGTCAAACAAGGTTCTTTCATTTTAGGTTTAACGTCAGCACAATTTGTTTTAAATCACAAAAAGTCTAACTAAATATGCACCACATTATGAAAGGTCAGTGGTGGGCACTAACTGCTAATCTAACCAGGTACCTTAGTTGTGCTAATCGCTAAGACGACTATTGGTCATCTTCCAGTTGAAGATGCAGGGCTCACGCAAACCTGATCCCACAAGACCGGACCAAAAGCTAGACAAAAGATAGTGGTCTGGTAAACGTCACTACCTGTGAGCAGCGTTACAAAGGCTTTGTTTTTTAGCTGTTTAAGTTCTTATGAGCTATGGCTTCAAAGTCACCTTACAGAGACAATAGTTTGTCACTAAAAAGCAACTAAGGAAAGATTTGCTGTTACAAATCGGACTCCCTACCAGCAGTCACGCACATCGACATTGTAAATTAATTATTTATCCATCCATCAACTTTGGCTTGTTCTAGACTGAGCAGGGAGGCCCAGACCTCTCTATCCCAGCCACCACTTCCAGAATGATTTTAAGGTGTTCCCAGATCAGATAAGACACAGTCTCCAGCGTGTCCTGGGTCTTCCACTGGGCCAGTTGGACATGCCTGAAGCACCTCCCTATGGAGGCGTCCAGGAGCCATCCATACCAGATGCCTGAACCACCTCAACTGGCTCCTCTCAATGTGGCGGAACAGTGGCTCTACTCTGAGTATATCCCAGATAACTGAACTTCTCACCCCGTCTCTAAGCAACAGTCCAGCTACCTTAGAGAAAACTCATTTTGACCACATCCTTCTGCGACCTTGTTTTTTCAAGCACTACCCAAATTTCGTGGCCATAGGTGAGGGTAGGAACGTAGAGCAACTAGTAAACAGAGCTTTGCGTTAGAGCTCATCTCCCTCTTCACCACAACAGACTGGTGCAGACTCCGCATTGATCCATCTGTCAATCTCACTTGTGAGCAAAACCTCCAAGAAACTTGAACTTCTCTCCACAGTGGAGATGGAAATATATACTTAAATAAAGTATTTGTGGCCGTACCACCCTGAACACTAGATCTTGTTTGATCTTGGAAACTAAGCAGAATCAGGCCTGATTAGTAGTACTTGGATGGAGACCACCTAGGAATACTGAGTGCTGTAACTCTAGCAATGGAAAACCTTTGACCATCATAGGTCGCCTTCTACAAAGCATGACACACAAATAAAAAGTACAGAAAGTATTTGTACTTTGCACCTCTGGCTGAAGATCACGACACAATGACGCCAACAGGACCACTTCATCTGCAAATAGAGATGAAATCCTGGAGACCACCAAATTGTCCTCGCTCTGCTCCCTGGCTTCACACAGAAATCCTGTCCATCATAGTTGTGAACTGAATTGGTTACAACTTTTGCACCACTTGTATAAGGACTGAATGGCCCATTACAGACATACAATCTCGTACTCTCAGAGTACCCCACACACACACACACACACACACACACACACACACACACACACACACACACACACTCACTGTACCTTAAGGAAAACAAAACACATGTAGAGGGGATAAGCCAAGGAGTTTATAAAGAACAGCTGAAGTGCTCTGAAACCATGTGAGCATGTGATCGGCTGTAGAAGCTAAATGCTAACGCAAAATGGTCAAGAGTCTAGATTTCCCGTTACTGTACATGTTGGTAACATAGCAGAAAAAAAGGAATGGCGATGTAAAAAACATTAAAACTATTATTATTATTATTAATTTATAGTTTATATAATATATTTAATGTTTTTAATGTCCGAAAGGCTGTTTGTGTTATGGATTTATTAACAGAAAAGCAGGAAAACGTCTCATTTTACAACACAAGTTGGATTTGATCTTATTTAGCTGAATGTGATCTGAGCAGAACTGAAGTTAATAATATAACAGTTTAAAATTAAAATAATCTTACAAAGTTGATGTAATCACTGTTATTTATTGAACTGGTTAGCAGATATTAGCTTGTGGAGCATATATACAGAGTTTAGCACTGTTGAATCATGCTACAATAAAACAAACTATTAAATATTACTTTGTATTCTGAATAATATTTAGACCTACAGAGTGTAAAATAATATTATAAATGTATTTTAGGTTCCTGTTAGAGCAGCGGTGCCCAAACATTTTCACTGAGAGGGCCAAAATTAAAAACAATCTGAGGGCCGTGGGCCAAATGCAATAATATAAGAAATGCTTAATACTTAAGTAAAGTTGTTTTATTTTTTATGATTAAGCTAGGAGCCAGTGTGGTTGCCCACATTCTTTAGTTTTTTGTTTTTCAGCCCATGGACATGGAGAAATTTCAACAATGTATCCACAGGCAGCAAAGGCTCAGGTGACTTTTCATAATTTAAAATTTGAGTATATGTGGTCTTATAAGGTGTGCAAATCTGTTTATGGGCTTAAATCTAATCTAAATGTGTCTTGTAGTTACTTGTATTTTATATTTAATCTTAACATAATTACAATCTAATAATCAGGACAACTGCTGGTGGGCCAAACCAAATGGCTCGGCGGGCCAGTTTTGGCCCGCAGGCCCCACTTTGGGCACCTCTGTGTTAGAGGAACCTGACTTGAGAAGATAGTTAGCTAACACAGACAAGTTTCATCCTATAACCAGAGAACATTTTCTAATTGTTGACTGGTAAATATAAATACTCTTATTTATTATGACAGTAAGAAGAAATAATAAATGTACTTTATTACTAGCTGAAGTCGTCATTTTTCAACAAGCTAAAGTCTAAGTTACAGATTGACTTCAGGTCTGGTTTAGATCATTACTTATAAATTATATATTTTTCTGGTATAAATCTGCAGTTTTACATGATTGTTGAATGAAATTAACATAATTATTAATTTATTGTAAAAACATGACAGATAATCTGTGAAACAGATCCAGTTCAGCTGCTGTTTATCTGTTAGTTTCTATGGAGGCTGTGAGCTGTTGTCATTTGGTCTGTTTCTGCTCCTCCATGCTGTCACAGACACTACCAGTGGACAGGATGGGCGGGGCTCAGTCTAGGGTTGTTGTTCAAGTCTATGGGATTAGCAAACTCTCATGACCCCTTGAGGACCCTAGTCAGGGTAAAGAGCTGGTCCAGTTTTCCATGACCAGGAGGGAAACCGCATCATTCCTCCTGGGTTCTGCCTGATCACACAGATGATGTAAAAATCAAGACCAAAACTTTGACAATTTAGTTTCCAGAACCACAAGAAGCCGACAAACTCTCACCAAACGCATTGGAGCAAAACAGAAAAAAACTGCTCGTTTCATTCTGAGACGACAACGACATAATACGCCATCATAAAGACGTATTTTACACAGGATCAAACCACTAAATGGTGTGTGCCACCTGGAAGCCTTTCATTATTTCAAACAAAGCTATTCACCTGCCACAACTTTGAGTTCAACTTCCCAGCATGTTGATGACTTTTCTGTCTGAGCCATCGCTGCACTTTTCATCAGCCGCGAGCTGCCTCCCACCTGCATTTACATTTAGAAGTCATTTTCACTAAACATAATAAGGCTACACAGTTTGTGCATGCTCGTTTTTTTCTTTCCTTTTTCTTTTAGAGAGCTGCTTCTCTAAAGAATCCAGTAAAAGTTAAACTCCTAATGAGAAAGAGTAACCTGTAACTGCTGGAGGACAACTTTTCTGACACAAAAAAGTCTCGTTTTGGGCTTGCATTTAAAAGTGATTTAAAAACACCGGCTCAACAGTCATGAATCCTTTCATTCGCCACCCGACAGAAAGTCGTCCGTCTGGTTTCAGAGGAGACAGCGAGTCTTAAAGAAAACCACAATGAAGATGCAGGTTCAAAAACAAAAACAAGTTCATTTCAGGATTTAGACAATCCTATGRGGTTAATTTAGGGTTTTACCACCAGTACTATAATGCCAGCATTTCAAACTAAGTAAAAAAAGATGCAGTTGGAGGACAAGGAGGAGGATAACTCACTGTGGTGGCTCCTGACGAAGAGGAGTTGGCTGTAGTGGTATTCTTAAACTGGGTTGGCTGTGAAAGTTTATTAGTTGTAGACGTTAATCATGATTGCTTCATGAAAGCTTCCATCCACAGGTCCAGCGCATATTTTGCTAACACTGAACAGTTTGGTAAAAACTTTATTACCTCTGGTGGTGACGATAATAAATGTGACCACATCGAACCGAGGATCGAGTCTCAAAGCAGACTCAATAATTGCATTTTGTCAAAATATAATAAATTAAATACATTTACCTATGAAAATGTTCGAACTTAAATCATATTTAAGCCCTTTATGGAGCAGTAGCTACAAAAAAAACATGATTTTGAGCAGAAAAACCTTCAATTTTGGTAATTTTTCCTGCGAGCTAACAAAACTGTTTCTTAAAATGACGTCAAAAAAATTAATTTGTCATTAGAATAAACTAGAAATAAGATTCAGACCAAAAATTACTAACTTATCCTGATTAGGAAAAATCAAAGCATATATCTGGAAACACACAAAATGTAGCTTAAAAAGCTACAAATCTGAAAATGTGCAGAGGTTAGTTCGATCTAATCTTCGGTTTAATGTGATGGATCACAAATTAAGTTACTCTTTAAAAAAAAAAGCCAGGTTACTTAGTAATTTGTCCTTCTTATTGCCAAACTAATCATCTGCTCAAATTAACAATATTCATTTTTTAAGTAGGGATTGATCTTTACACATAAGTTCAAATATGTCCTGCATCTTCTTTGTAACATGCTTCCAGTTAAGATGATGTATAGTATGGGTCTATGCTTTATAAAAACAGTCAACTTGTGTTTCCTTTACATGTAAAAAGCAGGTAAAGTCCTTCACGTATTGGATGAAAACTACAAAACTGAACATAAATGTATCTGGTTAACTTACCTACAAATCTATTTCAGCAGCTTGGAGAGAACTCTGCATCGCTGGAGCCTCTCCCTCGTCGTCACCTTCTGTTCGGACTATAAACATGAGCAACAATGAGCGTCGAAAACAATTTAAAACAAAGCAATCAAACATCAATTTGTTCCACGACCGCGGAGTAAAAAGGTATGTCACTCCCTATTCAAACGCTGAATCTGTGAATCCCAGCTGGTGATGGAAGTAAATAAAGCTGCCGTTTTCAGCCCAGACGGAGGTTGAGGCCTGCTGGAATTAAACAGTAAGTGAGCAGACATGTAAACGTTTCAGCCGCTCCATATTCAGCTGCTAAAGATGGGTTTAGAGCTCTTTTTTAAATCAGCAAACCAACAAATCTATTTTCAACACAGAGAGGAAAAAAGAAAGTGGCAAAGATTAAAGTAGAGCAGATTGTTTATTTTTGATATAAAATCTTAAATATATTAGAGTGGTTCTTCTGTTACATTTCTTTTGTTTAAATCAGAACCATGAATGAGTTAAAGATGAACAAAAGACAGCAGATTCATCAAATTACACAAGAACGTGGAAAAACTCTGAACTGTTACAAAAATGGCTTTAACATAAAGACAAGCCTTATTTTCAAGAAAAAGAAAGTGAAAATACTAACTTCGGAAGATCTTTTCTTTCTTTTTATTTTTGTTACTTCCCCACCTACTCATATCATCTGTTGCAGACATTTCAGACAACCTTGGGCTCTGCTTTTCAATCACAGGGGGCCTGACCACAACAGATCAATGGCAGAGGGCCACTGGAGATTCTGCTGCGACCTGCACGCTCTAATTGGACGGAACATGAGTGCTTTACTAAACAGCGGCCCTGCTTCCCACACGCACAATCAATCCGCAGGGCTCCTTCTCCCATCGGACCGAAAACATCTGGGCGGGTATGAACGTCCTGCCTGTTAGAAGCCATTTAACAAGTGAAAGCTTTACTCAAAATCTGTTAGATCTATTATTTAAACGCGCGGCTTAAAGTTATATAATATAGCAGAATTTCAGGCTCCAATGCAAAATGCAAAACAGCTTAAATTTTACGCTGAAGCAGTAAAAGAAAAACTATTTTCTGGACAAATCTGATTTAAAAACACAAGTGATGAAGGTTTTTGCTTTTTGTTTTAAATCTGTGCTGAGATCTATAAGAACACACTAAACCCTGTATTTATCTGATAAATCACTAAGGAGGATACAATAGTTGCATCCTGATAATTAACTTCTTTTTTTTTAAATATAGATTGATCTGGTATCCATCTATCTATTAAACGTAAATTAATTTTCCTGTTTCAGCGTTCTTAATGAGAACACACACCCCCAAACACACGCATACACTTAGTTCGACAGATAACTACGTAATTATCTGATAAAAATCACAACCGATGACATCAAAATTAGTTTTGCGCAAAAGAAGCTGTTTTTGCGCGTCCATTCTTTTATCTTCTATCATACTGATGTTTGTCAGTGCAATCAGATTAAAAATAGTGCAGTTATTAAAACACCCCTTCCTACAGACTTTAAATCCTGCCCAAACCGATCATGATCACAAGTTAAAGTTAACTTTCTAAAGTGCGTTTTGCCTCTGAGTTTCAGTCAGGAGTAATAAGTTTAACCCTTTCAGCTCTTCTCGTTCAGCAGACGGGAGCCGTTGATGCCGCAGTAGGTGACGCGGCTGGGTCGGACCAGCACGCCGTACCCGGGCCGGCAGGAGAAGTAGCGGCGGTCCCCGACCGAGCCGTCGTTCTTGCCYTTCGGTGTCCGCAGCTCCAAACCGAGCCAGACACCTGGGGCGAAGTCCGCCGCGCCCAGGTACCGGATGAACGCCATCTCGTTGGCGCTGCTCAGGAACACCTGCATGCCGGGGCGGAGGCGCACCTGCCCGTCAGAACCGGGGGAGGGGCCGGAGCCCGCGGCGGGGCCGGACAAACCGCCRCTGCTGCCGCTCAGGGTGCTCCGGCGGCGGCGGTGAGGATGAGAGCGGCTCCTTCGTTTTTAAATATTTATTTGTGGAATGCAGGAAAAGAAATAAAAAGGCATGAAAGATTTATGAGAAAATGCGTGTTGTTGGAAAGAACACATCAAAAATGTTGAGATTAATACGAGCTCAGGGTTTGGGGGATTGATCTCCGATGCCCTGTTCTTCCTCATTATAAGCACAATCATGCAACGGCCGTTTAAAAAAAAAGAAAACTTTTTGCTGACTAATGCCTCTGCTTCTTATCAGTATCGATTCTGTCACTGCTGCAGGGGATTAGGATGAAGCTGAAAAAGCTCAGGGGACCAAATAAAAGAAAAAACAAAAGACAGGAGAAAGAGAGCTGCACCTGGAAACCGAGCTCCTCCTGCTCGCCTCCTTCGGAGCGGCGATGGCCGACGTGGTGCTGAAGCTGCGACGGATCGTTCCTGCGGACCRACCACAAGAGTCAGGGGGCTTCAACGAAAACACGCAGAAAACATAACTAACGTAGAGACGCAACTGAACAAACTCACCACTGAACTGATGACTGAAGCGGGAGCTGGTGAGCTCTGAGAGGCAATCAACTGAACCATGGATCCTGAGAGGAAGGGGAAAAAAAYAGCTTTCTGTGAAAAACATATATTTGTCAGAAATATAAACAAAATTGTACATTTTACAACTAGAATGAATAAGCACAACCAAGAAACAACAGTTAATGTCTTCCTTAACCACCAGAAAGTTCTGAAAATACTGAGGTATGGGGGTGAAAATTGAAAAATACGTTTAAAAGATGGGTGTAGAAATAAAAGCAAAGAGGGTGTTTGTGATATCTGCTGACAGGAGAAGAAACAAGCCTCTGGTTGAGAATGTGAAATCTCTCATTAGACAGCCTGAAAGCACAAGCTGTACCCCGAGGTTAATTAGGAAAGAAAAAATAAAAGAAAGAAAGAAGACGTACAGGAGAAAAAAGACAAAGCTTCCCGAAAACCAGCTTTTATCTACAAGAAGACAAACAGTTGTGAAAACAAAAAAACAAAAAGGAGCAATATGGGATTAGAGAAAAGGAAGACCAATTACATGAAGAAATTAAGGTGCAACAGTCCATCGCTTCTGATAAACACTTCCACAAACACATTATTTTATACGTCGACTGCTTTTTAATAGCTTTTATTCAGTTATGACCGATTCACRCTGCGGGCGTTGTGCTGGTAATGTGCCGTTCAGTTCAGTAAGTGGCTCATGCATAAAAATTGTCAGGAGAAACGGGCTTCATATCCCCAGGATCAAACTTTCACAAACAACTTGACAAACGGTAAGTCTTTGTTTGGACGTTCTGAATACAGACGCAGAACGAGGAAATAATGAGTGAAAACAGGTGGGACACAGTTCAAGTGAAAATAATCTGACTTTCTTGCTATGATCAATAGTTCTTCAGACTTTCTGAAGGTATTTTAAAGGGTATTTGGGGGAGTTTTTTCAGGAATAAAGATACTTCTAAACGAGAAAAAAAAGGTTTGTGTCACAACCCAACAAACTTAAAAAAATCTGAAATTTAATCTGTTACCAGTAGCTTGAAAAAGCACAATTTATCCTAAGAATCTGGAGCAGACATGACTCAAGACAACAAACTCAAGGCCCGCAGGCCAAATGTGGCCACGCCACTGCATTTTATGTGGCCCCACGAGAGATTCAAAGACGTATTAATGTCTTAAAATATGCTGTTTTCAAATTCAATTCAATTCAAAAATACTTTATTGATCCCAGAGGGAAATTAGGTTAATTACATTAGGTTACTTTTTGTTTTAAAGCCAGCAATGACCATAAACTACATCTCCCATAATGCATGTTGATTGTTTTACTTGCAAAATGACGGTGGAGCTGCACACGGTTCAAAAGTAGCCGCCAGCTGGAAAAAAACTCACCATGTAAAATCTTAATTTCACCGCTACTTTTGCTACGGCCCAGTTTTACTTGATGTAAATTTAAACTGGAATGTCCCTCTAGTGGGAATTCCATGTAGGAAAGTGGGAGAGTTCTGAATTCAAGATGGCAGCTACTCACCACAACTCAACAGTGATAAAACTTTTACTTTTGTTATTTCTGTTTGATTTATTCCACATTTAGTCAGTCATACACAGAGGTTTATAGTAACTATGTACATTTACTTCGATACAGTACTTTAGTAGTTTTTTTTTTGAGGATTTGTAGTTTTACCAATTATTTTTTAAATAGCTACTTTTACTTTTATTTTGTTACATTTTAAAGCTAAAATTGTATTTTTACTTCTTTACACTAAAACTTTAACACCTAGTTACTCGTTACAAAATTAAATATGTTTGAACTCATCATGAAAGAAGATGTTTATGCGCTATAAAAAATGAAATGTTGAGTTTACTCAACAAAGTCATGTCAACAGGCTCCACTAAGCCTAGCTGAGTAAACTGATCAAAGAATAAACATATATTGTTCAATTTATTCAACCTGGCTTAGTGGAACCAGTTTGTTTCAGTAAATTCAACAGTGTATTTCTTAGGTAGTGTGTAAAAGTACTTTTACTTTCTCAATTTTTGTGAACTGTTTTATAACTTTTACTTGAGTAGTTTTCTCATCAGTGAAATTTATTTTTACCAAAGTCATTTTCTGTTCATGTAATTTTACTTTTACTTAGTTATTTTTTCAAGTACTTCATTGACCTCTGGTCATACACATAATACTTTTTTGTGTTTTTAAGAGGACCTGTTAAAACTCTGTTTCTATGCAGGAAATACCACATAGAGCTCAGTCATTGTTTGTTGGTAATGCTCAGCCACGGTTTAGGTTCAGGTTTTAAAAGTAGAAGTTATGGGCATCTGGCTCATTATAAGGTGTCACATTAAATTGAGAAGTCATACTGCGCGAGGGCTCCAGGCTTCACGTTTGATAACTCTGACTCCGGTTAATCACCAGAACAGAGGAGCGTCATTTACCACACAGAGTAAAATCAAACACGCCGGCAGTCGCACTAACGACACCGACAAAGAAACTCAGTGTTGTAAGACGTGGTGATGAGGTCGATGGGAGGTGGCCTCGGGGATTTTTTTTACTGTCAGGTCTGCTCTGAATGTTTTTCTAAAGTTTACCTTTGTACCCGAGACGGTGGAGCGAAGACCCCGTGTTTTGGAGGGCAGCTGAAGTACCGCACTCCTCCCACCGAGCCGTCGTTCTTACCACTGGGTTTGTCCAGTTCAATGCCCAACCAGACCCCTGCAGAAACAAATTCAAAAATTAACTTGTTGCTCTTTGGTTCCTCTCTCTCTTGTGTTTGTGGAGCTGTGTTTGCTGTTGGTAAAACTTGCAGCGCTCAGCTCGCCAAAAATGAAGTGGCTCTGATTTAAAAACTATCAAAGAGAACATGAGAGTGAAACCCCCCGAACCTGATCCCAAGTGGTGTGAGCTACATGAGTAATTATTTATACACAACTGATGCCTGAAGAGAGCTGCTGCCTAAATATTGATGAATCTTGTGAGCTCCTCTGTTTGGGTTTCGGTGGGTTGCTGGGTTTTTTTATTTTTTATTTTTTTGTTCACCAGCATCTTTTTTTTTAAACTCAAATCTGATTTTTAGAGACCCTTCAGTTCAGCTGAAGGAAGCAACAACTTGAATTTATAAGAGGAAAGATTAACAGAGCATTTTGTTTGTGCTAACACTTGATTTGCTGTTTAATTCTTGAAATTTCTTTATTAAAAAAGGAAGAAAATTTATTCTTAGGAAAACAACTGAATGTAGTTATGATTCCGGAGCTGCAGTGCTTTTGTGCCCTCTAGGGGATAGAATACACAATATTTGTGTTTCACCCACTGACCGGGAGCAAAGCTGGTTTTTCCGCAGAACTGAACGACTCCGGTTCTCTGGCCCGCCACCAGAACCCTCTCCCCCAGTCGGACTTCGACGCCATCACACAACGGGCTGCTGCCTGACGGGGTTCGACTCCTAAAACCTGCAGGACAGAAGACCCAGTTTACTCGCCGTCTGTGTCAGTTTGGTACAACTGGATCTACGTATGCACGAAGCCGTACCTGCAGCTGGAGGAACCGAGCTCCGAGACGAAGAACGGCGTGCGGGCGAGGGTGCCGTCCTGGGATTGGGGGAAATGTTCTCCCTTTGATGCCTGGCAGGAGGACGCTGCCTCGGCAGGGGACGAGGTCGAGGGCTCGGTCTGTGCCGAGAGTCCAGCGAAGACGATGAAGAAGAAAGGGAGTGGGAGAGGTTACCTGAGAAGAGATTTGAGGAAATAAATCTGAAAAACAAATCAAATAATCCGGTCCACTCCTTCAGATAAACACCACTCAAAACACTCAAAAAAGGTGCAACAACCATTAGTGTGTTAGCTGTAAAAATTGTACAATCTGCTAAATTAAAAAGCATTAATGGTAGCATCAAATCCTCTTAATAAAGAATCCAACATCTTTACAGTGACTTTAGAGTCAAGCTCAGATTAATTATCTGTGACAACCGTTGCATCATAAAAATGGACACAACAAAAGGTTTATAGCAAAACACATTAAAGGGATCCACGATTAGTTGTAACATTAGACTTTATTTGATAAACATATTTTAACTGTAAGGCTGTAAAAATACTGTAGGCTGTTTAGTTTTGTAAATTTTTAAAAATATATTTTAACACGGACAGCCATTTTATTTACACACAAAGCATTCTGGGTAAATGATGATGTCGATAGGTTCTCGGTGAGAGCGAGCTATATCCACCCTGAAGGTTAATCTTGGACAATATCTGATGATCGACTCTTTTA